CAACAACATTAACAGCAGTGTAGCAGCCATTTTAACTGATGCGTCGCCGCCATACAACCGTAACCACCTACGGAACGAAAAATAATAAGAGGGAGAGAAGAGGGACTTATCGCGAAACCTTAATGACTTGCACAAACATTCAGGGTCAAAATGTGTACACATTGTCAACAACATACCGTCGGCCGGTGGCCCAGTGGTCTGCACGCCTGGCCTGCAACCATAAGGTCACTGATTCGAATCCGCGGAGTGGCGGGTGTCCTCGCGGTATACTCAGCCCACACGCGACTGGTGGTGGTCGCGAGGCAACGAAGCGTACCTACGACTTACAGCTGAGACATTATTGTTATTATTATTATTAGTAGTAGTAGTACAGATCGTCACAAACAGCTGACTACCGTGCAAAGATAAGGCGGCATCGGCGAGAGAGCTTTCTTGGGGCTTTCACTGCCACGCGTCATAATCAGCTACTACTCCGCAGAAAACTCAGCACCGAACACACTTTAAACAGGCAGTCCAACAACGAGACGGAAGCACACGCGCCACTTGTGTCGACTGCGAACCGTGTCTTGAGCCAAACACACAGCGATTCACGTGGACTCCAGCCGGAGGGCGAGATGGACCAAGGGCCCCCGGTTTGGTCGTCAGCGACTCAATTTCCCACTGCTAAGTTAAATTCTGCCCACCTAGGGGCTTGCGTCATTCTATATCTGGCAAACAAAACAAGGCCCGTCTCGGTAAGCGGTGACCAGGCACAAGTAGCATGTGCCCAAAACCAACACAACTTATCCAGTGCAATCTATCGTTCTAAGGAATTAGCTTTGTTATCACTGTCTAGTACCCGCCTTACGCACACCATTGTTGTGGACACGCTGGTGCCACGACACCCAGCAATGCTCCGCAGACATCGACGTCAAAGACTTGAAGGCGCCTGAGATCCTTAGACCAAAAGTGGCCAAGTCTCGCTCCATAGATTGTAATAACTCTCACTGTGTTCTCGTAACCCGGATTCTTAGGCTAAGGAAAACCCCTTTGTGACGTTAAAGATGTCGCAGATTCAAGATAGCTCTTGGGTTTTTGTAATACGTTGAACTGATTTCAGTGCCTATGCGCTCATCTGATGTTGATGTAGCTGCCGAGATAAGTGAATTAATCAACCATCTCGAGTCCCTCGTTGTCAAAGAACAATGTCGTCAAATGGCGCGTGGTCCTGCAATAACAACTTGCATCACAAGATGCTAAGCGTATGCCGAATGATGGCACCACACTAGAGAGGTTATTCAGTGTTGATTTCATCGTCACAAGACATCGTTAAACAACAAGACAATATAATTCGCATAATCAAGATCAAATAACCTCTCACCAGGCAGCACCTCAACACCTACATCGGGAGATTCCGCAAAGGAATCCCCGATGAAATTAAACAAAGCGGGGAAATTGGACGCCACTTGTTGTCGGAAAGATACCCGCTAAGTCACGGTAGACGGTTTACGCGGGCCTGTCTTGTTCGAGTACAGGGCACGTAAAATGTTCACATATTTCATGGAAACACATGCCCGCGCAAGTCTCAAAGATAATGGATCGATCGACTGAAGGCGAACGCACTCATGAAGATCAGGAACACAGCTATGATCCGCCTGCGATGCGTGTGGTGCTGATCTAGTCACTTGATGGAAAGCGAATACGTGGTCTACACAGCTCCGTTCTGGACGATACCTGCCTTCGCTTCCCTAATCCGAGATTTCCCGTTCCGAAGTTGAGGTGACGAACGAGAAAGTAAGGCCAGTAATTTGGTCACCACGGGCGTTAGGCTAATACCCCTTTTTGCATACGCCACTATAATCGATTCACTCGAGTTAGCTGGGACGGTCTCTTCTCTCCAGACATGTTCGAACAGGGAGGTTCACGTTTTGCATAGGACTTTACCACCAGCCTTAAACAGTGCGGGGGGGGGGGGGGGAGGGAATCCAGGACAGCAGAATGAAAAACGATTAAGGGTTTGTGATCGCGTCTCGGACCTCGGTCTCCGACGGAGGCTCTAAACTAACCGTCCATAGCTCCTCCTGCAACACCTGAGTAGGAAGAGGTCCGGAAGCAGGGAGTCAGCTGAACTGATCTTGAAAGTGTGACGCCTGAAGAGCCATACAGCGCTCCCTTGTTGTGTATCAGTGCACCACGCTATCTCTGAATGTCTTACTGACGCCTGGTTTCCTGGGATCAGTGGTGCGGATCAGCCGGAAGAACTTGCGGTAATTGCCTACTGCTCCTGTCTCCTCCATTTCGTTAGCCCTACTAGTCCACCAGGATTCTTTGTCAGCATGCAGGCTGCACTTTAGTTAGCGCCTAATAGTCCGTCCGATCACATTTTGTTCAGAGCCAGCCGAGAGTTTTCGCCCGGATTGCAATAGGTCCGCCGACCTATCTGGTATCCAGTGACTGGCGCAGTGACGACTGATAGTATCACGAACAGTGGCTACCAAGTCGTGCATGGCGACTGAGATCCTATTCCAATGAAGCTCAGGGTCATTAGGAAAAGAGAGCGAACCTTCGGTACGCAGGACATCTTGGTAGACTTGCCTGACCGAAGACTGAGATGACTTTACAGTTGTCAATCGAGAGAGACGCTTGGTGCGCCTCTCAGTAAAGTCAAGGGAAAAAGCATAGTGTAGAAAGGTATAATCAGAGTCAACGCGAGTACTTCAGAACGAGCGACAATTCAGGATGGAACCTGTAACAGGATAATGTGAGCGATTTGGGTCCATCGCTGACCAATTACAGGAGGACGCCAAGTGGCACTTCGGCGCCCACTGTGTCTAAAAGCGGCACTATTAATAAACAGCTGGTGCTCCGTACACAGCTGTAACAGACGCTCGCCGTTGTCCGTCCGTTCGGAGTTAAGCCCATAATTACCACATAGATAAGCTTCTGATGTGCTCATGCGACCTAGTTGCGCATTAAGATATCCTTCAATAACAACGATATCTGAAGTAAGAACACCGTGAAGCGGTGCGCTCGGCTCGTGGTAGAAGGTGTCCTTCGTAGCATTCGGAATTGCCGTCGGTAAGGGCATAGGCGTAAACCATCAACAAAGTGCGTTTAGTGCTACCTCGTGAATCAATCTTAGTTGATGTCATCAAACTGGTGCACACAAACGGTTGTTCACAGGAATCCAAGCAACCGACGATGACAGACTTAGAGCTTACAACGATGTCCACTGCAGCTTAACCAGCCATTGCCGCACCAGCGTCTCCGGATGGGTGCAGCCAATAGCGAAAGGACAAGCCGGGCGCAGGGACATTGATCCTAGTTGTGGATACGCAACACACGTCAGTACTAAGGGTTTCCAACGTGTGATCTTATAAAGGACTATTGCCAGTAGACATCCAGTGGGTGGTGTGAAAAGGTGGGTACAGATGGGGTGACTCTAGTGGTATCACGGCTGCTGTCAATTAAGCTGGGAATTATAGAAGGAAGGATAGTAATGTGGGTTGGGATGGGAATAAGAGAAACAGATGTTTTCGTTTATCCGCCTTGCTGTATACAGCAGATAAGGCGACTCTCGATGATTTGTGCGAAGGTAGATGCAGAATTCGGTTAAATTTTGAAGAAATAGTCATGGTTGAATGTGGGCTGATACTACCAGGGCACACAGACCTAAACAAGAGGACGATTAGGGTCTTCAACCAAAGCCTTTGGCTCAAAAGCCTGTCTGCAGGGCAGCGAATGTGACAACAAATCGGTTTTACAGAAATGGAGGTCATTCTATTTCAAACCCTCAACCTGGAGGATCAGGAGATTGAGTTCCTCTGACCTCTAACCATTGACCAACCTGATAGGAGTAGCTCTCAAGGCGCCCAGAGCACCACATATTATAGCCCAATGAGTTGAAGTGGTACGCAAACCGCCGCACCATATTAAGCTCCAGTCTCGTTGCGACGGACCACTTACTAGTCCGGATTTTGAATCGCCGCTAGTTTTTACTTTTATGCTGACCATCCGCTTTTTGCTGCTTTCTCGATCACTGATACCTTCTTTAGCCACTTCTCCATGAGCCCAATAGACTTATGGTTCCTGGTCATGCACTGGAACTAATTAGTGAACTCAGCCTCAACAGCTGCGAGTAATGGAACAAAAGCGTAGATCTATATAGCCGAAAGATTACCGGGTGGGCCAAGTTTCTGTCATGTCATCCCCGGATCGTCTGTTTGAGCGTGGGTGTAGGCACGAGCAACCTGGCAGTGCACCTATCCGACACACACAACTGCTGGTGGTGGTCGCATATAGCACCGAAGCGTCGGTACGAGGTACTGTCGTACTGCTGACTCCACTTATCTGGTGCCTCAAAAGAAAACTGTAGTCAGCATGTGCATAGTACAACATTGTACAAGATACGGCAAGTCCCCATGAGGTTTCCGGTTTCAGTACCACGAGAAATATAACGTTTATGATCATGACTGACAACTTAGGGATCGCATTTTCGATACGGTGAACAAATGTTCATAGCAGGACAAAAATGAATACGAGAGCAAAAGAACGCTGTAGCGTGTACTGCAAAAAGACCCTACTTAAATTCAGCTAAGCCACGATTCCACTTATTACGTAAGCAGCAATATGCCCAACAGAGTATAGAAGGTGGATTTACAAATAGCTTAGTGCGGAACGTTGTGCGTGGCACTAGTCATGTCCTCTGTGTGTCGACAATGTACAGAGCGATACGGAATGGATTGCACCACATTGGTCAAGCTACTAGCAACTGCCATGGTGCGGTGGCTGCAGCTGCCGCTATGCAAAAGTCGCAATTCCGGTTACTCACCGATTCGACAAATGAGTGAGAAATTCCGAAAAAGCGCAGTGACCGTCTGGTGTCTTTAAAGACGGTGAAATGAGTGAGGAAATTTGGCCGATCATGATGAATCAGTTAAAACACTTGGATCCACTATCAGTTACACCGAGTAAGTGGGAGCTGCAACATAGGTCATATGGAAACATCAGGATGGACTTACTCTCTCTGTCATTAGGGATTTCTATGGTTTGTGTCTCTTTGCAATAAAGTATCTGTTCTGGAGGTGGTATTGAGGTCTCGGTGATGCCAGATAGTTGCAGATTCTTCCGTCGTCTTGAGAGGGTTGGTGTATGTTGGCTAGACAAAAAACACGATCGATCTTAAGCCGCGTAAAGAAGGATCAGATTTTGTAGTTCAATAACACAGTACATCAAGTAGGTTAGCAGTAAAATGGCAGCGAGAAGCGTGATTTCTAAAAAAGGTGACAATTTTGACAAAATTTGGTGACCAAGCAATCGCCAGGCTCCAACAGCCGAAGAACAGAATAAGCTATAAAATATGACAAAAAAGCCGTATGTGACAACAAAGAGATTAGTAGCACACCTTACCGACCGTTCGCTGCCACGTAACCACCATCAGTCGCGTGTGGGCTAGGGATACCGCGAGAATCGTGCGGTGTCCTGCGCAGACTCGAAGCAATGACCTATGGGTTGCCAAGTAGACGCTCTAACCTTTCCGACACCGGCCGGTAAGTTGATGATAAAAACGGAGCAAGAACACCAAGCCACTTGACACCAGACGCCTGAGATTGATGCTGTCCACATCAAGCTTCTTCATCGCAACTGGGCTATACAGCCAGACACTTAAACTAAACGTTTTTAACCTGGATAAAAAATATTCCTTGTTATTTGATTTGCTCAGTTCTGCTGTATATTCCGCGTCAATTTTACGTATTTATTTTCTTTCGAATTCTGTGTTGTTTGACAGTCCCGGTTGAACGTGTTTGATGTGAATGTTGATATAGTGCTTACCTGTCCAACACATCAACTGGATTGCTGGCTCCAGGAGACTGAGAATCGTTGCTGTCGGCGGGAGGTGCACGGTCCTCGTGGTCGCGCTAGGTTCAGAGAGTGATCCTATCCAGTTTGGAGCGGACTGCAGCCCATCCACCGCCCTGTGTACGTCTGGTACATATGAATCCCTACATAGGTAGACAGGAATGCCGCTGCTGTGTATGTTGTTACGCAGTACCGACGCTTTGCTGCCGTACAACCACCACAAGTCGTACGTGGGCTAAGGATCCTGCGATGATCGCCCGGCCTGTACACACTCAATGGTTATAAAAGTAAGAAGAATAAAGTGAATAGAAAAAGAAGCTCCTTTTCTGCGTGCGTTCCGCACGTTGTGGTCTTCCTTAGCTAATTATTTGCTGAACATCAGAATCAGGGCATAAACGCTACAACTCTTCCACAGAAGACGATGCGCACAATTTATTTAAGTGTTTTCAGCCAGCGATCTTCTTAACCTTGGATCCCCAGCCCAGAAGACGCACGGGACCGAAGATAGTCAGCACTTCGACGTTTTGCCACCATGCGGTAGGCTGACCTGGCGAGTTTAGCAGCTGCGGTCCCGTCAGGGTGAATAAAGAGCGACGTAGTAATTGCCCGCGCAGTGTATATGACCCGAACAAGCAGCCACAACTGGCACGGGGATACCAGCCCATCGAGGCCATTATTAGCTAATACGTCTAAGTCAACACATTGTCGTTGCAAGCTGAGTGTTTCCAGGAAGCGTAAGCTAGCGTTTGTCAATGTCCTGATCAATGGGCAGCCTGTTTGATTGCAGTTGGACCCTGCTTCGGACATCACGATCATCTCCAAGAAACTCTGTCGATCCCTTGGCAAACCACCACTCGACTCAATCCTACAATCCGCCACCAGCGCCTGTGATGATCGCGCGCAGCTAACTGGACAGCTGCAGTGCTCCGTCACCTTTCGAAGCGGCACATTCGACGGGATCTGCTACATCACAAAGCGAAGCTCAACCTGCTTGGTCTCGATTGGCTCGATCACCTTGGCTTGGCCGATCTACCATTTCGGGCCATTTGCAGCGTCGTAAAATCTCCGGAAGTACCAATTGACCAAACCGACAACATCACTAGACAGTTCGATTGTGTTCCAGGATGGTCTTGGCCGCTGTACAAGCACTCGCGTCGTTACAGCTCGGCTCCCGGAGATCAAAGGGCATTCCGCCTAAAAACGTTGATCCCTTACGCAGCCTTACGATTGGTCGCTGTTGAACTCAAACGATTGGAAGATATGGGTGTCCTGGTACCCGTGTCCTACTCTGTCTGGGCAGCCCCGATCGTTGTGATCAAGAAACCGAATGGATCCCTCCGTATCTGTGCCGATTTCTCTACTGGCCTCAATGCTGCGTTGGAGCCAAACTGCTACCCACTGTCATCTCCAGCCGACCTGTTCACGATGTTAAATGGTGGCACGTGCTTCACCAAGATCGATCTTGCAGATGCCTACCTACAGATGGAAGTTGCTCCTGAGTCGTAACCGCTTCTGACGATCAGCACACACCGCGGTCTCCTCCAGTACACCAGACTGCTGTTTGGTGTCAAGACCGCCCCAGCTCTGTTCCAGCAGACAATGCATGTAATGATCTCCGGCACGCCAGGTAAGGCCACGTACCTAGATGATCTCCTCATTATTGGCCGCACCCAGAAGAACTGTGAAAACGTCTCATCTCTGCCGTTGAACGAATCCAGGATTATGGCTTTCTTCTGAAAGCTGATAAATTTCAATTCTTCCTTCGGTCGATCAAGTATTTCGGTTTTGTCTTCGATGCTAATAGCCGTCATCCTGACCCGAAAACGTTCGAGCCATTCAACATATGCCGTCCCTCAAAAATGTTCATCAGCTACGGTGATTCCTTAGCCTCATCAGTTACCACAGTGCTTTCTTACCATCGCTACACGATGTACGGGCCCCCGCTCAACCGAATGTTGCAAAAAGAGTTTCCTTGGCACCGTTCCCCTGCATGCGAAAAGGCTTTCGTGCGCTTTAGAACTATGCTCAGTTCTGACCTACTACTGACGCATTACGACCCATCCATACACATTTTGGTCGCTACTGACGCCTCCAATAATGGAATCTGAGCAGTCCTCTCCCATCGCTTCCCTGATGGTCCAGAGAAACCTGTCATGAACGGTTCACGCACACTGACGTCCGGAAATAAAAACGACGGTCAGAACGAGAAGGAAGCCTTGGTCATGGTCTTTGCCGTCAAAAAGTTTCACAAAATGCTCTATGGTCGGCATTTCACCTTACTGACCGACCACAAGCCACTGCTGTCAATCTTTGGTTCCAAGAAGGGCATTCCAGCATACTCAGCCAGTCGACTTCAACGATGGGCCGTTATCCTTCTTGGGTACGATTTCGAAATCCGCTTCTGCCGCACTCAGGATTTCGGTCAAGCTGACCGTCTCTCTCTCGCCTAATCCTCAAGAACGCTACAAACGAAGACAAGGTGATTGTCGCTGTCGCCGTCGAGGAAGATGTTCGTCATCAGCTTTCAAACGCTATTCGCAGCCTCCCTGTTACCACCGCCGATATACGTCACGCAACTGCACAGGACGTTGTCCTCCGTCAAGCTATCGCTTATGTTCAGATACGCTGGTCTAACACTGCACTATCTGAAGAACTCAAGCATCTATTTCAGCGTCGAAAATCTCTCTCTGTAGTTGATCCCTGTCTTATGATTGTCGTTCCTGACAGTCCTCGACAAATCGTCCTCCGTCAGTTGTGTTTTGCACACCCTGGTATTGGCAGAATGAAGGCAACCGCTCGCAGTTTCGTCTATTGGCCCGGTATTGATAGCGACACTGAACACTGAGTTCGCCGTTGGGCCCGACGGCAACAAGCAGCCAAGATGCCACACCATCACCCTCTAGTCCTCAGGGAATCACCGGAAAAACCTAGGTCCTGTATACATATCGACTATGTTGGTCCAATCAATGGACTGTCCTATCTGGTTGATGCCTACTCCAAATGGCATGAAGTTGTGCCCATTAACTCCCCGACCACAACGGCAACGATAACTTGTCTCTAAGGAACCTTCAGCCATCACGGACTCCCTGATGTTCTGGTGTCCGATAACGGGTCGCAGTTCAAGTTATCACTAGTTGAAGAGTTCTGCCGCCGTCACTGCATAGAGCACCTCCAATCACCGCCCTACCACCCACAGTCCAACGGCCAAGCGGGACGTTTCGTCGACACTTTCAAGAGAGCGTTCTTGAAAGCACGTGGGGAGGGGACCGTGGAAACCATTATCCAGATCTTCTTGTTCGTCTACAGAACCACACCGAATCCAGCAGCTCCAGGAGGAAAAATCTCCGACCGAAGTATTGATGGGCCGGAAACTGCGCACCACACACGAAGAGTTGGTTCCAACCAAAGAGCCACCGATAAAAACCAAAGCCCTCACCAGTCGCAAGGGCTTCGCTATTGGAGCTCCTGACTACCGGGCTGGTCACCCTCACTGGATCGAAGCTATAGTAACGGGCTATCGTGGTAGTATGCTACATGATGTCGCTGTGGGAGAAGACATATGGGTTCACCAGCAAAACCAGCTTCGACCGCGACATGGAACGTTTACCGAACAATCCAAGTCGGCAACACAAATTCCGCTGCACATGCAATTAGATACTTTCGGAATTGCTGTGCAACAAGCGGGGCCCATGGAAGTCGTGCAGCCGACGATAAACCCAACTGGCCCTCACCGCAATTCGGAGCGCATCCGTCGGAGGACCGAAAGACTGCAGATCGACCCTCACCTAAAACGGTATGCTCAAACTTGAAAGGGGACGTTATGGGGACCCAACGTTCCTATAATGATCACAACTCGATTCAGGCAAGTGCATATGTACTCGATTCAGTCAAGTGCACACGTTTTCAATTGGCTTACCAACTCGTGAGACATTCACATGTCGATTGGCCTTTGCATCTCAGAAAACATTCTTGTTTCCGGCCAACCCCTCAATCATGAAACATACAACCTTTTTATCTAAGAAACATTCGTTTACGCAATCCAGCCTCCGCATCTACCAACATTTACGATTGGACGTGACGCCAATTCAGTTGTTTATGCCTTGCTCCAAGGGCCTGCTTACGTAAACCATTTTATGTGACAATCCACCTATGTTACAATCGAGGTATAAAAGGAAGGCTGGACTGCGCTGTAATCGCTTTGAACCTGGCCAGTAAAAATGCCAACGCGAAGGGCCTATCTTTGTCTTGTTCTCTCGAGTTGGGTAGCTGCGTGTGAAATTGCGTTCGGTCTAGGAGCCC